CCGCTTTCCTGCCTGCTGCTGTTACTCTCCACACAAACCTATATGCACCCACCCATACCCCCCACACTCTTCCACAATATCCAAGAGTACGACTTCATGTTAAGCTATTATACAATCACCTCTATGTACACTATACAAATGCATGTAAACCAGGACAAGAATATTTTTTGAAATCAAATTAATGAATATTGTAGTAGATGTTTGGTTTTTAGAATATAATTTGGTATTTTTCTGGATCTGAGATGGAAAACCCCCTTGGTGAAAGGAGTACTTAGGGGTGGTGGCGGTGTAAGGGCAGGGACTTCTGGTGGCAAAGGTCAGGGGTTAGGGGCAGGACTTCTGGTCCCAAGATGGTGACCAGGGGGTGTTGTGGGGCAGGGCTACCCATGTGGCCCTTAACAGCTTACCAGAATTCAGTCAGCAGACTTCCATCTGAAATAATTGCCTGCATGTGCCCATTGCCTGCTCCAACATGTGCTAATTAGCACATGTTTGTGCATACTCAATGAACTGAGTCTGCTGGATCATGCTTTGTGTGTATTCAGTGTCCCTGCACTTCTAAAGGGTGCAGGGGTGCTTTCGCTAAAGCTTGTTGAATGAGCTTTAGTTAAAGTTCCCCCTCTGCTATTCTGAAGCGTGGGGCACTGAACACACGAGATGTTGTGGGCACTTTAATTAGAGCAGCTCCCGAGAGTCACTCTAATTAAGATTCCCCCCTTACCCTGAAGCACATATACAGATGCCCTAGAGGTCTTTCCTGAGCATCAGACAGGTGTTCATAAAGGTGGATTCTTTTTTTGCTATATAAGAAATAACTGATCCGCACCACTCTTTGTTAATTCTAAAAAAAAAAAAAAAAAAAAAAGGCCTTGCAGTTTTAACTGGCCAGTTTAACATTTTAATTATTATTTAAATGAGTGAAATAAGACTGCAAAATAGAAACAACTTGCAACGTATTTTATTGTGTATGTACACTAATGTAAAGCAGGAGTTATTTTTTCCTTTGGGAGGTTTATATGCCAATCTGTTGCATATATTATGTGATTGGTAATTGAAAAGGATTAGAAGACAGGAATATATGTGTGTGTGTGTGTGTGTGTATTTATATTAGGTTATATAAATTACATTACATCTATAATATATGGATCCTAATTTGCATGAAGTATATGTATATGTATTTCCTGTCCTTGGGGGTTGGGTGGCCCACTGTTCATGTGATGTGAGGCTCCCAGTCACCCAGAGGTTGAACAGCTGTTTTAGACATAATAGGCATGTCCATATATGTTTTGTCTTTGTTTTAATGATATCCAACAAGTGGGTTGGGACTAAGATACCAGTTATGTTGTATTATGATTAAAATGTGTATTTTTCAAATGTCAGCATTGACTGTGAGTGAAGAAAGTCAGTACAGCCTAAACCGCAGCTTCAACCTATACATCGCAATACACCCCAATTGCATAGGAATGCAATTTCTGACATCCATTCCATGGAACTTGACTTGATTGCCTTTGTCTGAAAACTATGTACTGAAATTGGAATAGCATTTAAAGAAGCTTTAAAGGATGTTGCTTTACAACCAAACAGGCAAAAAGTGGAGGCTAAAAGGAAGCAAATCTGTCAGATAATCTTTTACCTCATTTTATGTAGGCAGGTTAAGATTAAAATGTAGCCTTCAAGTAAAGTAAGGATCTGTACATGTCTGTATGTGGTAACTGAGGTTATATAAATTATAATGGCAAACATTTTTTTTAATATCTTAGTAAACCTGTGCTATATTTAAGGACATACTTGCCACAAACTTCAGATACTAGACTGGAACTTTCACAATTGTATTGTGGATTTACACTGATTTTTTTTCAATACAGTTGAGTGCCCTTTTGAAAATCTCATAGGCCCTTTTGAAAACCCCCATATTCAAGGCTTTTTCAACAACAGCGTTCTTCACCCAGGCTGCTGAGGTGACTTTCTATATCATCAGCAGCATAAACCAAGAGAAAATTAAACTCATTTCAGAACCACGTTCAAGGCAAAATATAATGTTTTTAGATTGGTCTATATATCTCATCCTGACTCTCTTTTTTGACAACATGAATGTTGATAGCATGGGATGCCCTTTTCAGTATACAAGTGCAGCTGTACTGAATGCATAGTTTTAACAGACTGCAGACCGGGTCTACTTTGCTAGCAAGGAGAAATGGGTTTTGATCTGAGGTGCATAACTGATATACGGTGCAGTTAAGGGCAGATCACTTTAACCTCTTGGCCCTTTTATGTTAACATTGTTCAAATTTAGTAAAACAGTTCAAGACTGTGGGATTAAACAAAATGAGAGCAGTAAATGTGAAGGATTTCTATTCAGCACTTTTTTTTGTTATACGAAAAGTGGATATGGATATGAACACGAGTATGCTTTTGTATAAATTGTTAAAAGATTTTTCCTTTTGTGGTCATTAAATAACTAAGTAGTAATGGTTGGACATTCAGGTGGACTGGCCTTAGTTTAATAATAGTCTCTTACAATTAGTCAGTAAAGCCTAATTGTCTACTTCTATCTATTGCACGTCTTTAGAACTTCATTATGTCTGTTGACATACAAATGTATTGTGTCCTTTCTGCATTGTGGTCCTTGAACAAGAATACCAAATATTATACTGCATTATAACCTATCCTTCTGAGAAGTAATAAACAGTATCATTCAGAACACTTATTGGCTTAAAAATGAGCTAAGGCTTGCAGTAATATTGTTTAGATTGTGTGTAGCCACACACAAAGTGTTAAACTGAAAGTTAAGCTAGATCAGACAAAACTGTTTTTACTTGCATCTAATATATTATGTTAAAATTATTACTAATATCCTATCAATTTTTAAGAAGATTATACAGCTCAGCAATATAAGGTGCTTAAATCTGATTATTTTTATTAAAGTTTAGTTGTGCTAGGTAATATGAAATAATCAGTGGATCTTGGTAATGGGGAATGAGCAAAAGGAGTTTTTTGATAACACTTAATATTAAATTAAAATTTATATTGTTGAAATACTTCGGAAATTGCTAGGTATGATGACAAATATAGCTGAAGCCAATGTGAAGTATATTTATATTTAATTACCCTGGTCTTTTCAACATCCAGAGTTAAGTTAAATCTTATGACATTTGAAAACCATTGCGGTTACCAGATTTTTATTGAATTTAAAGTTGTTATATTAACGATAGTACTTTTTAGTTTTAAATTATATTTACCTGTTTGAGCTGAACATGCAAACATAGTAAATGTAGTTGAAATGATATAGTAAATGTTGCCCTTTTCTTTTACTTTAATTGGCACAGTCACCTTGAAATATCCAAGCTGACTAATTTTAGAACTTTTCATATTCATGTTCATATCAGTTCATTCAAAAAGTATATATAACTTTAAATATGTCCTAAGGCCACAAATTTCACTAACATTTTTTTCTTCTTAAATTTAATAATTCATTTACATTGTTAGGGATTGATTTATTCACTTTTTAAAATGTACTAAATGTACTCAAATCCAAGTTGCTGCCCCCTCCCCGCCCCCCCCCCCATTCAATATTATGTAAAAATCCGAGGGGCTTACAGTCAAGTAAAAGTGTGGGAGAGGAGTGGTTACTGGTTATTACTCTGCTGAGCCACCATGCCCTGGTTGCAGCTGTTTACTTTCCCATCCTAGGTCTGGCTTAAGTTAGGGCTCTGCTTCGGGGCACGCAGCACAGAACAAATTCTGCATCCAGCTTCTGCCCAACCATGTAGCATGGCTGTAATGGCAGCAGCTCCAGGGAGGGCAAGCAGGAGGCTAAATGGTGGTGGTGGGGGTAGTTGCTAGAGGGTCCATGCACCATGGAGAAGCGCAGGCATGGAAGGGTGGGAAAGCAGGAGGGGGGCCAAGTGGCAGGGTCAAGGTGCAAGAGGTTTGTAGGCACTGAGGGGAGGGCAGGCACTAGGCGTATAAGAGGTTGAGGGGCAGGTACCAGAGGTACAGGCAGCATGGGCAGGGTAGGCTCAGGGCAGACAGGCACCAGAAGGCTTAAGTGGTAGAGGGGACAGGTGGCAAGGGGCAGGAATCACCTGACTTGACTCCCCATACCTCCTGCCTCTCTCCCCCACACTGCCTGCTTTTTGTCCTGTTGCAGTGGTGGGGTGGAAGAATTTAAAATGACCCCAAAAATAGATTCTTTACATAGAAAATTATTGTTAAAAAAGTTTTATATGCTTGGAATCCAATTATTGGGGTGGTCATTTTCAATTCTAAATTGCCTTGGGTTCAGGTTGGTACAGGTTAGTACAGTAAACTAATTTACTCCACAGCAGGATAGTACTTGCAGATACAAGCAGAGTTATTTTACTCCTCAGCAGTGCATGTGTAGATGCTGCCTCAGCTGGCTGGGGCATTAGGGTGCTTCAGCGTGGGGACTACCTGCCAGCCAGCCAGCCAGCCCCACACTGAAGTCCCTTCCTGCTCTAGCCAGCCACTCCACAGCACGTTTTGCTGGGGGGAGCAGCCCTGGGCTAGAAGGCTACCCCCCTGGGTCCCCTGCCAGCTGGCACTACTCCAATCAAGCTCAATGTGCTGTGATCCCGGGCACATGTGAAGACATGGAGCCTGGGAGCAATAAACTCCAGGGCAGTAAGCACTGGAGTTTATTCTTGCACATTAATATGCATATGTAGACCCTCCTTGTATGTGGTCTTAGTGAAGTTTTTAGCTGTGAATTAACTAACATACTGTAGATGTTCAACTTTCAGTCAATATGGTTTTGTGCAACTTAATACTTTAGTGTGAAACTATATCGATTAGTACATATATAAGTATAATGACTGCTTATATGTGGTTTGAAGGATGAAAGCTCTTCACGCTTTAGTTCACAATGGTTTCCCCGGGATTGTTCATGCTAAGTAATCATTACTCTGAGTAGCATGTTTCTTCAGGATGATGACCGTATTTTGTAAAATAAATTTATGTCTTTTATGTGTGTTTTCCAGGATCTAATTCTTGGCTTGTGCCAGAAACAAAAGGAGCGATTGTACAAGGTGGATATGGTCATACTAGTGTGTCTGATGAAATGACAAAATCCATTTATGTTCATGGTGGATACAAAGCACTACCTGGCAATAAATATGGATTGGTGGATGACCTTTACAGATATGAGGTTAATACTAGGACATGGTAAGTGAACTGAGAATACATGAAACTGAGATCAAAAATGGTTCTGTTTTATTTTGTTGAGTTAATGCATGCACAGTGGTGAATATTTAAAAATTTTGTTATGGTAATATTTATATTAATATAGTGATTATTTTACAATATTCAGTGCTTTCTTTTTAAAGAAAATGCAGAGAGAGTTCTCCAATTAACCTCAGGGCATAACAGCATATTGTATATGGTCAAGTGAATATCAGAGTATTTAGAAACTTAAGGCTTTAAAATATCCCAGTGGTATGAGGTCAGCCTGTATAAGGTATATGTTAGGGAAGAGACCACAGCAAACTCCAATTCCTTAGATGCTGTCCCTAGGTGTCATTTATTTTCTCAGGGGGAGACCAAACAATTCTCCAATTCTCTTCTAACTAGATTGTAAATAAACTCTTTGGGACATAGATTGTATCTACTTGGGTACATTTTCATTATTTTACAGCACTTAGCACATAGGGGTTTCCATACAAATTTAAGGCTTAAGAATGCTACTATAAGACAAATAGTAATGGTGTCTTAAGGAGGAAAACAGTCCCATCAGTAGTGAGATCCTCTGTCACTATTTCTGGATTGTGTGTGTGGGGAAGCGATAGCAGCATATAATTACTTTTCTTCTGCTCTTTATATTTTATTTGCCCTCTGATTTTTCCCTGTTATCCTGTAATGCCTCCCCAGAACAATGTGTTCTCTGCTTCTCCTTTTCATGAAAAGTGCCGCCTTGGTGGTGGTCACTGCCAATGTGGATGTGTGAGATCTAAAAAATCCCATTGCAAGGCCAGGACCCCCGTGGTACGCCTTGAAGAGGCTGGGCTGGGCCGGCCCTGTGCCCTGCCGTGTGGTCCCCAGCCTTGCAGCTGGAACCATGTTGTGCCAGGCTGGGCTGCACACTGGCCAGGGCAGGTGGAGCTGTTCTGCATCCCTTGCCTCCAGCTATGGCTGATGTTGCTCCTGACCCCGCCTCTGCTCCTGCCGTGCTGTGCCGCTCTGTGGATGGGCAGGAAGGTTCCGCAGGAGGCTCCTGTCCAGTGTGTGGAGAGCTGGCTCCAGCTCCCAGCTGCCTTCTACCTCCTCTGCCAACCTGGCTTAATGAGCAGCCCCTGCTGGTGGGTGGGGCGGATAGAAGGTGGCCAGGAACTGGAGCTGGATCTCCATGCGCTGGGCAGGAGCATCTCACTGAAGCTTCTACCCTCCTGGAGTGGCGTGGTGCAGTGTAGTGCAGTGCAACACAGCAGGAGCCGCAGCTGGAGTCGAGGGGAGCAGAACAGCCCTGCCGGCCCCAGCCAGGATGCGCAGCTTCTGGTGGGGCTATTCCCAGTGCAGCTGCAGCCAGCTTGGTACTGCTGTGCTCCCCTTGCCTCGAGCGGCCACTCCTCCCACTGCTGCCTCCTGCTGTGCTGCTCTGGGTGGGCGTGGGGGAGTGGGAAGCTTCAGCCTGGCTTTTCCCGTAGGAGGTGAGGGGAGTAAAAGAACATCCAGCTGGCTGCAGCCACACTGGGAACAGCCCCACCAGAAAGCTGCGCGCTAGCTGGGGCTGGGAGGAGTGCAGTTGCAGGCTGTTTGGGTGGTAGCCCCATGTCGAGCATTGCAGGGCCAGCTGTGGCCTGGATTCAGCCGGTTGGTGGGCCGTATTTTACCCAGCCATGACCTGCACAAAGCTTCTGTAACTGGTATGTGCAGTACATCCCTGTGAAGACTGATACATGCTTTTACCAAGCACCTTGTAACCAAAGAACCCTCTTGGGTAGATGATCCATGTGGCAAGGCTGTCTTTCAGGTACCTTCATTTAGGGCAGAGCTATCAACCTTCCCCATGGTAGTGTGTTGTATGCTGTGCCTTCAGGCCATGCACCGTGCCACTCATATGCTTTGAGGGCAGGGCCCTGGATCCCTTCCCTCTCTGCCACATGAACAACACTGGTGGCACGCAGGACCCTTGAGTCCTGCCCCTTGCTGCATGGGCAACTCGCAGCCCCTGGCCCGTTTGTTCCCTGCCAGGCCCTCTTACAATCCCGGCATCTCTGGTTTCTGCTTTAAGTTCCTTTCTCAGAATTCTCAAAACCAGACAAATATAATTGGTTTTGGTGTTGTTCATAGGTAGTCTCAGTTATTAATATTCTGTCTGAAAGCTTGATGATTCTTTTTGTCAGTTCCTTGTTTCTCAAGTTTAATTTATGAATGCTGCTTATGTGTTTTATACACAAGCTGACCTTTAAATTTTTTCCACCTCAAAGCTGTTTCGAGATCAAGATCTGTGTCTCAGAACATTTTATTCCTTCAGCTTAATATTCGCCTTGGGCATTAGTGGCTTCACTTTAAGTGTGCAGGGTTTGCTTTTGGGTCAGCTTGTTGGAAATGTTAAGAAATGTGTAAGTTTGATTTGACTGCATAGTCTTTATTTTAAATGCCACTAGCTTACAGCAATTGGCAACATTAAAAAATGTTTTTTTTTTTCTTTTTTTCCTCTCTATTTATCTATTTTTAAAACAGCAGTACCAAAATACTATCCTATTATGCTCATCAGTTGCTTAAGGCTTTCTGCTAGGTCCCTGACAGACATTAAAGGAAAGGTGGAGTGAGATCTGATGTGGGTTCCCAGCAGTTGCACTGGCTGCCATGCCATACTGGCATGGCAGGAGATGTGATTGTAGGATCTTGCATCAGATCCCATTGTACCATATTGCTCATGCAGGGCAAGCCCAACCCCAGGCACTCCCAGTGCTGGCAAGGAGCAAGCCTGACTCTAAGCCAAGGGAGCACACCAGTGTGCTTTTGCTGCTGGAGCCCCATTAGGTGATGGGAGTTCCCAGCCAGGTGAGTGCTCCGTGTGTCCCTGCAGCTGGGAGCCGCTGTCAGATGAGCAGAGCTCCCAGCTGCAGGAGCGTGTGAAGTGCTCTGCCAGCTGCAAGCCCTGATCCATCTGACTGGGCTTTGAGCTGTGGGGAGGCATGATGTGATTCTTGTTGGGGAACCCCAATCAGCTGAGGGGGGCTTCCAGCCTCTAGAGCACATGAGAGACTTACAAGACTGCTGTGTGCTTCAGAGGCTGGGCACTGGCCACACATTCAATTAAAAGGCTTGATAAGAACCACAAAGCTATTACATGTAAGGGGCAAGACAAGTCTCTCACTGGGATTGTGGAGAGGCAGCAGCAGGGCACCAGACTACCAAGCGTAGACCCTGAGATGGTGCAGAGGCACTTGGAGGAACTGGATGCGTTTAAGTCGGCAGGCCCAGATGAGCTCCATCCGAGGGTGCTGAAGGCACTGGCTGACATCATTT